TGTACTCTCAAAGGCATGAGATAACATCCAAGGTATTGTCATATAGACCTGTAAACCCACTTATAAGCTTCCATGTGGTCCTTTGACATCCATGGTGAGAAACTTATTAACTCCACCATTATACTGGTATGTGAAATTGTTATGCTGAATGAATTAATTGCCTCTAGACACATCAATCCTGCATCTTCATTCAGAAAGGCAAATAGACTTCATAACCTTATTCAGCTTCTTATCATACATAACCTCATTCATATCCTACTCATTTTTATTCCATTTCCTTCTTTGTTAGGCAGTACAGATGCTTCAAAGAAAACAGCAGAAATCACTTTTACGAACTTGATGGCAGTAGGAAGAATAAAATTACTGTCTGAAACTTTAGGGGATCTTGTTGTATAGTCCACACCTTTTAAAAATAGTTCTTACACCAAAGGCAGAAATCCTTTAATCAACTGATTAAATTTTAAGCCTTTCATTTTCACTGTGACATTTTAATGATACATCTAATAATCAAGACCTTACAGATGAGATAAGCATAATAGGTAATATTACAGAACAGAGGAATTTTACAGTCTTACATATAAATTAGCTCAGTTAAATGTTCTTTTTCTTTTGGAACATCAGGATCAAAAGGAACAAAGAGTATTCATAAAACAAAGATGGATCCTGTTTGAAATGCTTTAATTTAGTTTAATAAATGTTGTAAACAGGCATTTTATGGAGAAATAAATAGACTTCCTTTCTTAAAGAGAAAACCACATTTCTGTTTTTATATTTTCTTTCTGTATGTTCAGGGAAAACTCCCACATCTGAATCCTTGCTGTGTCCTCCATGCCCTTGATCCACTCTTTGCCCTGCTCTTCTATATCTTCATGAGTTTATTTAATCCTCCATAGTATCCCTGGAATGGCCTCCTTCTCTTGTAGGTCTCTGTCCTTTGCCTTCCATCCTCATCTATTATATTGTTATCTTCCTTTCTCGACCAAACTTTATGAACATATTGCTCTTATTTGCTTTACTTTCTCATTCACTCACTGTCACAATCTATTTTCTGTTGCTATAATAAAATACCTGAGACTAATTAATTTATAAAGAATATAGCTTTATCTGGCTCTCAGTCTAGAAGTTGGGGAGTCCAAGAGCATGACGCTGGCATCTGTTGAAGGCCTTCTTGCTACATCATAACATGGTAGATGACATATGGCAATGGAGTAAGTTTATTAACTTGAGTCTTTTTTCTTCTCTCTCTCTGTCTCTTCCTGTCTGTCTGTCTATCTGTCTGTCTCTCCTATTGGGGACTGAACCAAGGACTTCACAAGTGCTAACTGAGCATGTGGTCCTCTCTCTTAAAACCGCTTTCTCTTCTTGTAAAGCCCCTAATGTCATCAGAAGTACCCCACCTTCATGACCACATCTAATTGTAATTGCTTCTTAAAGGCCCTACCTCTACATATCATTTACATATGAATTTGGGGGATTATACCACTTTTCTTTTTTATTTAAGTTTTAATTATGGTTCAGAAAAAATTGAGTAAATAACTTCTGCAAAAATATATTTACTCTGTGCGGACTATGGTGATGGGGGAGGGGACGATGGGACCACTGATAAATTAAATTACCCTATTTTCTAGTCTGAATATGACAAAAAGTCCCATTTCCAGTCTGATTATAAAAGTATATGGACCAAAAATGGCTGAGAATAAATACAAACAAGAAAGACAAAAGCTGTAAAGCTGAGAGCATGCAATAGGTTCTAAGAGAAAAAGCTTGGAAATACCCAAAGTGGCAAGGGATGTTTGGCTAGAATTTGAAATTCTTTCATTCTTTTTTTTGTTGTTGTTGTTTTATTATTCATATGTGCATACAAGGCTTGGGTCATTTCTCCCCCCTGCCCCCACCCCCTCCCTTACCACCCACTCCGCCCCCTCCCTCTTCCCCCCACCCCCTCAATACCCAGCAGAAACTATTTTGCCCTCATCTCTAATTTTGTTGAAGAGAGAGTATAAGCAATAATAGAAGGAACAAGGGTTTTTGCTGGTTGAGATAAGGATAGCTATACAGGGAGTTGACTCACATTAATTTCCTGTGCGTGTGTGTTACCTTCTAGGTTAATTCTTTTTGATCTCACCTTTTCTCTAGTTCCTGGTCCCCTTTTCCTATTGGCCTCAGTTGCTTTTAAGGTACCTGCTTTAGTTTCTCTGCGTTAAGGGCAACAAATGCTAGCTAATTTTTTAGGTGTCTTACTTATCCTCACCTCTCCCTTGTGTGCTCTCGCTTTTATCATGTGCTCAAAGTCCAATCCTCTTGTTGTGTTTGCCTTGATCTAATGTCCACATATGAGGGAGAACATATGATTTTGGTCTTTTGGGCCAGGCTAACCTCACTCAGAATGATGTTCTCCAATTCCATCCATTTCGTTCTGCTTCATGGCTGCATAAAATTCCATTGTGTATAGATACCACATTTTCTTAATCCATTCATCAGTAGTGGGGCATCTTGGCTGTTTCCATAATTTGGCTATTGTGAATAGTGCTGCAATAAACATGGGTATGCAGGTGCCTCTGGAGTAACCTGTGTCACAATCTTTTGGGTATATCCCCAAGAGTGGTATTCATCTTTGTCTTTTGCTCTGTGTTTAAGGATGAGTGAATCCAACGTCAATGAAATTTCCTTTCTTGTCAACAGGGGCTTCCTATAGAGCTCATCCACCTCCTCAACTGTAACCTGATTGCCCATGGTTGTCAGCATCTCTCTCAGGTAGTCCTTCTGAATGGTGCCAGTTGCTTCTTCATCAAAGCAAGCAAAAGGATTTCTAATGATATCTTTTGGATCCATGCCATTTAACTTCTCACCACACATGGTGAGGAACATAGTGAAATTGATGGGGTCTGGAGCCTTATTTATCATGGCATCCAGATATTCACCAGTTGGATTTTTTCCCAAGTGAGGCAAGCATATCATGAAAATCTTCCTTGTCAATGAAATCATCTCTGTTCCAGTCAATCATATTGAAGGCCTCTTTGAACTCCTGAATCTATAACTAGCCAAACATAGCAAACACATTGGATGGTTGGGATCTAAGAACGCTTCCTGGTGGTCTTGGTCTTTGCTCTTTTTTTTTTCTCAACATGGTGATGGTTAAATGCCTTCACAGCCACAAGAATGTGAGCACTTTATTGAACTCTTTGGTACCACTGTCAACACCACTAAAAATCACCAGATGTCAGAACACTTTCTATCTGGTCTCCTGGATTAGACTCCTTCCCTCCTCTCTTAAGCATCTATCCAGCTAAATTCCATGATCTTCAAATTCTACCTCATAAACATTTTTTGTCTCTCTCTTCTTCATCCCAGTTGTCCCTGCCCTAATTCAATCCTTATCACTGGGCTGATGGTCATTTAACTAGTCTTCCTGATTCTGGAATTATACCAGAGTGTTCTTTCTAAGGAGAACATCTGTCCATGTAACTATTGCTGTGATCCCTACTTTATTGCTTATGAGATACCCCTCAACCTCCCTTACATGGTTCATGAGATCTGCATGCACTGGCCATGTCCATTCCCTAACCTCATCTTCTGTACTTTCCTAACTGATCATGCATACAGATAACTCCCTTCAGTATCCCATTCTGTTTTTGGTTTTAAGCTTTTGTACAAGGTGGAATTCAGGATGGGAAATTTTATGATAACACTCTCCACTAAACATTTAACTTGGGAATTACTTGCTAGAGAAGATCTCCTCTTTGCTTTTCAGCTTGGGATTGAAATCCTTCCTCTGGTCTCACATAAGAACATCCTGAATGTCCCTCTATTATTGTAATTAAGACATTGCACAATCTGTTATTGTGTCTGTCCTCCTCATTAGACTGTGTCAAACTTATTCCAGTGCCCCAAGAGCCCAGATCTGGAGCCACAGCAAGATCACAATAATTGTTGTGATTGATCAAGTTTGACTGTCTATATTCTTTCCCTAATTTTCACCCAGAACTATTGTCTGTCACATTGCCTCTGGTGGCTGTTATAGGCAGTGGAGATCAACATGAAGAACATTCTACAACATGATCCTGGAGCTCTGACCATGTTTTGACTCACTGATACCTACAAATTATCACTGTGCGAACACTGATCTACTTTGTATTTTGAGCATAGGATATGATTTAGCTACTTGATATAGTTGTATTCCAGAGGAGAAACATTACAGGTTCACATGGGTTAATTTGAGGACAGTGTTAAAAGAGTCAGTGCACAGGAACAGGAATGTAGCAGAGAAACAAGAGAACACCAGAAATAGCAAAATAAAGTGGAAAACTTCCAGAATGGACAGGGAAAGAAAGTAACCAGTAATTTGGAGAGGCTGCCCACCCGGGCTATGAGCAGAGCTAAGTACTCCTGGTCTTCACTTTCCAGTCTCCATTCAAAATCCAATAGAAGTCAATGGACAAGGGAAGATGGGATGTAATCCATGCAGCTAACCCTCTTTGGACCTGAACAGAATGGAGAAGAATGGAGCACACACGAACAGGAGCACATGGACAATGACCAACAAAATGAATAGAAATTAACATTCATTTTCACAAATAGGAAAAACAATTGCCCTAGCAAAGTTGTTGGCCTGGACTAAGGATTTTAAAGCATTGTTTCTTATATCCAGAACCAGTGAAACTAACACATTGGTTCCCACACAACAACTCCTCTTAATCAATCCAAAAGTGACAACTTTATTTTTTGCTATCATCTTACTTGAAGTTTTATTCATTGTATATTACCTCAAAAGAAGTCTGAATAACAGGAAAAAAAAATTGGTCTTATTTTTATAAGAGTCACAGCAAACACAATTTCCTTATATTGTATTTTCATCACTGAAGTCTTCCTATTTATGAAATAAGGTGCATAATGACTTTTCCATCCAAGAGGAATAACTAAGAAAGGAAAATGACATGGAATTAAGAACTTTAAGCTGCTTCTATGGTCATAACTGTAAGTGTAATCATTATCCTTTACCTTCATAAGCGAGTGAGTTTCCTCTCTTTAGCCCAGTCTTGGACATCTGCTTTTCCAAATATGAGGTAGAAGATCAAACCCAATATGTTAATGGCAAACAACAAGAAAAAGATATTCTTCCACCCAAACTCAGGGTCCTGGGGACACAAAACACCAAACAAATATTACATCTTTCATCTTTTTTTCTATGAAACTTTATATTAATGGTTCAGATGACAATGTTCATTAGTGAACATTCCATATGAATTTCCATATGGAAATTTTTTTGAAAGTGTCTTGGTAACTACATGGAGTAAAGAGTTTCCAATTACATTCAAAGTATTCTTAATAAACGGAATTCAGGAACCCTCATGAACAACTTACAGAACTCCATTTGTCACTATTATCAATGTGTCATACATTTTCTCTTGTGTATAACTATGCGTAACATAAACTATGTAAGAATTTCGAATATATTTCTTACATTGTGATGAAAAGATTATGGGCTTTGGCTCTTAAGTTGATACAGGAAAGAGTAGGAAATACTCTGGAGTTAGTAGGTATAGGTAAGAACTTTCTCAATGAAACCCCAGCAGCACAGCAACTAAGAGATAGCATAGATAAATGGGACCTCATAAAACTAAAAAGCTTCTGTTCATCAAAAGAAATGATCTCTAAACTGAAGAGAACACCCACAGAGTGGGAGAAAATATTTGCCAGCTACACATCAGACAAAGGACTGATAACCAGAATATATAGGGAACTTAAAAACTAAATTCTCCCCAAACTAATGAACCAATAAAGAAATGGGCACGTGAACTAAACAGAACTTTCTCAAAAGAAGAAATTCAAATGGCCAGAAAACACATGAAAAAATGCTCACCATCTCTAGCAATAAGGAAATGCAAGTTAAAACCACGCTAAGATTCCACCTCACCCCTGTTAGAATAGCCATCATCAGCAACACCACCAACAACAGGTGTTGGCAAGGATGCGGGATAAAGGAACCCTCTTAGACTGTTGGTGGGAATGTAGACTAGTACAACCGCTCTGGAAAAAAATTTGGAGGCTACTTAAAAAGCTAGACATGGATCTACCATTTGATCCAGCAATACCACTCTTGGGGATATACCCAAAAGACTGTGACACAGGTTACTCCAGAGGCACCTGCATACCCATGTTTATTGCAGCACTATTCACAATAGCCAAGTTATGGAAACAGCCAAGATGCCCCAGCACTGACGAATGGATTAAGAAAATGTGGTATCTATACACAATGGAATTCTATGCAGCCATAAAGAAGAATGAAATGTTATCATTCGCTGGTAAATGGATGGAATTGGAGAACATCATTCTGAGTGAGGTTAGCCTGGCCCAAAAGACCAAAAATCGTATGTTCTCCCTCATATGTGGACATTAGATCAAGGGCAAACACAACAAGGGGATTGGACTCTGAGCACATGATAAAAGCAAGAGCACACAAGGAAGGGGTGAGGATAGGTAAGACACCTAAAAAACTAGCTAGCATTTGTTGCCCTTAACACAGAGAAACTAAAGCAGATACCTTAAAGCAACTGAGGCCAATAGGAAAAGGGGACCAGGAAGAAAAGGTGAGATCAAAAAGAATTAACCTAGAAGGTAACACACACGCACAGGAAATTAATGTGAGTCAACTCCCTGTATAGCTATCCTTATCTCAACCAGCAAAAACTCTTGTTCCTTCCTATTATTGCTTATACTCTCTCTACAACAAAATTAGAGATGAGGGCAAAATAGTTTCTGCTGGGTATTGAGGGGGGAGGGGAGAGGGGGGGCGAGTGGGTGGTAAGGGAGGGGGTTGGGGCAGGGGGGAGAAATGACCCAAGCCTTGTATGCACGTATGAATAATAAAAGAAAAATGAAAAAAAAGAAAGAAAGAAAAAAAAAGATTATGGGCTTTGGAACTAGACCAATCTAAGTTAAAAAAAAAAGTGATCTTGGTATGGTGGTGCGCCTCTGTAATCTCAGCTACTAAGAAGGCAAAGATCAGGAGAATAATAGTTGGAGGTCAACCTGGGCAAAAAGCTAGTGAGACCTCCCATATTAACCAAGTCTGGCACGGCACTATACAACTGTAATATCAGATTCAGGGAGGCATAGGTAGTAAAATCACAATATGAGGCTGGTCCCAGGCCAAAAAAAAAGAAGAAATGCAAGACTCTAACTGAAAAGTAAAAAAGAGGTGGAGGAGTGGCTCAAGTGGTAGAGCACCTGCCTAGGAAGCATAAAGCCCTGAGTTCAAACTCTAGTATCATCAATCAATCAATCAATCAATCAATCGATAATTAAATATGTGATTGTACATCTTCCCAGTAGACTTATTCTACCAGACTTTTAGGAAACGAGGGTAATAATACTCAATTTTCACAATATATAATTGAATGAGATTACTGCCTATGAAATACCTATCCTAATGCCAGCCTGTGTCAGATACTGGAAAAAAATGTTTGCTTCCATTGTTCCTTTTTTTTCTCACGGTTATCCAAATGAAAATTCAAAGAGTTGAGGTGACATGGCAGGGTGGCACTGAATCACTATCCCAAGACACCCTTGTTGATATGGTTGTGTGATCTCAGTTTCAAGGGTGAAACAGTGTTAGTTCTTTGGTTCCAGAATGAACCATGGTTGAGGTCACCAAAGAAACTGTTCTATGTTTCTCTTTACCAGGTTCATCTTCATGTCAATTTCACAATTTAATTATACTTTTCAATCTTTGAAAATAGTCTTTATGTTATCACTTTTTTTTTTTTGGCAGTATTCAGGGTTTCAGTTTAGTGGGCAGGCTCTTTACCACTTGAGTCACTCCACCAGCCTGATGATATGTTTCATAAACGGGCTTGGGAGAGTATTTTAAGAGTCTTTCCTGAAATGAAAACGCTACCTGATTGAGAAGAAATCCACTCACAGTGGGTACCAGCACAGCTGCTATAGGTGCAAATCCTCTTGAGGCACCCAGGAGAACATCAGAATATCTGTGGGTGACAGGAATGTTTCAAGCTAAATCCAGAGGTATTTGACAGAATTGTTCAGCTCTCCTCTGTGCAGGAATCCATCATACAATTATATCAAAAAGACTTGTGCTTTATATATTCAACAAGAAGTACTAAAACCAATCAAGACTTGTCTCCTCGGCATACCACAGGTCCATCTAGTGTCCTTGCCTATGATTTACTGTTTTCCAAGCTTGGGTCTGTCCAAAATCTACAGTCTAACTCTTTTTCACAAAATGTGAAACTAAGAGTGCAGAAAGAGTCCTACCTTGGAGCAATATCTAAGGCATTGATATAGACCCCTGCCTGAGGTAATGGGCATAGTCCACACGAAATCGTCAGAAATGTAATTGTTGTGACATAGCTGGAGTTGAGGTAAGGCAAGGCCGCCAGGAGGACAGAAGGGGGAAGAGTTCCTAGGGAATGGGAAACAGACAAATTAAAGATTGAGGTATATTCTTTGGCTGTTGAATTATCCAACCCTTAGGCCTCATTCTTACCTAAAATTGTGACGACTTTCCTCACTGTGACAAGTCTAAAATTCTTGACCAGAAGGAAATCTGCCACCTTCCCTGTTAGGATACCAATGACCCAGGACACAAGAAAAGGAAGAGAAGACAGGAGCCCATTCTGAGGGGAGAAAATTGAGTAAATCACCTTAACCAAGGTAGTGAGACTACAACTTTTAATGATAAATCACAAATAATCATATTGACATTCTGAAAACATTCTTCCTTAGGGAAATCAGTAACCTCTTCAGTCATACTCTCAGAAAAGCTACTGGCATGAGTATTAAACATTTGATTATTTTTGGTAATAGGAGATAATATCGTCTATTTAGAATGATTTGTGAAGGGAGAATAATTGATGTGTCATGCAAACAGGAGAAAGGAATGAAGTGAAATATACTTACATCTCTGATGTTAACTTTGAACACAAAACTGATGTAAGTTGGTGTGTACATAAGAAAGGTGTTAATTAACCATTGATGGCTGAAACTGCAAAGGCATATAGACCAAAGGGGTAGAGAGCTGAGCATAGCTTTGATGGGTAGTGACTGCTTTTCTGAACTGACCTGAAAGTAAATTTATAGGTCAAAACAGGAAGATCTGAGTGATGCGCAAGCATTCTTAGTTATCCTTAGAAATCCAGAAGCTGACACAAGATCTTAGGAGAGGTTTGGAGTCCTTATGTTTACCTGTTGATCCAAAGAGGATATGATGTATTCTTTTTCTGAGGTGCTTATCCATGGGTGAGAGCCAGGGTCATCATAAACCACAACACACCAGAGAAGGCAGCAAACACAGCCAATGCCTCCTGCAAGCAGAAGGTAAACTGATGAGTGAGCTCATTCTACTTTTGGAGTGAATTTCTTTTAAGTTGGGTGTTTTCTTGGTGTAGGTCCTGGGGAAAACTCTTGCTCATTATATCACCTCTCCATTTCTCAAACAATGTGACTATCATATCTTTCTAGTACCCATTTCTTTACATTTCTTGTTTATTTGTTGTGTAAAAATCACAGACCTTAGGAATGATATCACACTTGGTGTCAATCTATTTAATATTAGCCATTTTAATGGGTTTGTGGAGGTATCTCATTGTGGCTTTTATTTGCATGTCTCAGTGACTAAGGATATTGAATTGAGCATCTTATCATCTGACTGTTTTCCTCTTTTATATCTTCTTTGGTGAAGTGATTTTGCCCATTTTTAGTTGGGGGTTTTGCGTTCTTATTATTGAGTTTTGAGAATTATTAACATTTTCTGAATAAATGTCCTTATTACATGTGTTTTGCAAATATCTTTTTGAATCTGTTTGCCTTTTCATTATCTTAACAATATATTTGAAGAGGAGACAATGTTTAACTTTTATGAATTCCAATTTACTAGTTTATGGATCATATTTGTGAAATCTTTAGCTAGTTAAAGAACAAGATTTTCTCCTATGCTTTCTTCTAGAACTATAATCATTTTAGGTAGGTCACATTTTTGTATGTGATGCAAAATATGAATCAAAATTCTTTTTTTGCATATTGATATCCAATTTTTAATCACAATCTGTTAAAAAGGTTATCTTTTCTCCAACAATTGCACCTTTGCAAATATTAGTTAATCTTATATGTATGGGTTTATTTATGACTCTATTCTGTTTCATTGATCCAGTTGTGTTTATTAATGCCAAAATCACACTGTCTTGATGATTATCACTTTATAATAAGTCTTGACACCAGGCAATGCTAGTCCTATAATTGTAATTTATTTTCAAAGTTGTTTGGCTATTCTAGAATCTTTACATTTCCATGAAAATTGAGTTTTCAGTGCATAGTTTTTTCACATCTTCTGTCAGATTTATCCCTTCATTGCAATTTTTGATGCTATTGAAAATGGTACTGCTAACTTTAAATTTCAAATTATTTCATCTTTTGGATGTCTAAAAACATCTTTGTTTTGGGAAAAGAAATTTTCACTGGGTCTAGAATTCTAGATTGATATTTCCTTTTTTTTTCTTGTAGTGATTTAAAGATGTTCCACTGCCTTCTTGCTTGCATTGCTTCTGACAGGAAAATTGTATTCATCTTTCTCTTTTTGTTTCTCTGTACATAACATGTCTTTTAGCTTCTGCTAATTTAGAATTTTCTCTTTGCCACTGGTTTTCAGTCATTTGATTATGATGTATTTTGATGTAATTTTCTTCATCTCTCTTGTAGCTCAAGTTTCATTGGCCTTCTTGGAGCTGTAAGTTGATAGTTTTTCATAAAAATACTTTTGAGTTTCATTTGGAAAATAGTTAAATTGTATGAAAACAGTTTGATCCTTGCCCTCATCATTTGTTAGAGGGATCCATAGCAGTGCTCCCTCTATGGCTAATAATTCCCACTACTGAGGAAGGCATTTGTGAGTTTTCTACCCAATAGCCTATGGATTATGAAGTTTTCTGTCTGTCTTGCGGAAATAAGCACTAGCCCTGATTCTCTGTGAGTACTGGGCACTGTGTGCTCTCTAATTTGTACCAGTGAATCTTTTCCCTGGCCTTAGACATTTTCTTCATATTCATATCTGATCAGAACTCTGTTGAGTACTCAAAAGGGGGCTTTTTGCATGTAACTGGGGTTTTCTTTGTGTTCAGGTGTTTCACTTTAGGTACCCCATCATATGAATTCTACCTCTTACTGTCTCTTAACTCAGCTCTGTTTCATGAGATTTTCTGCTAGGCTTTGCCTTAAATTCTCTTTGGCTCTGCTGTGACCCAGAACTCATCTCTCATAGGTTTTACTATTTGTTGACAGTTGTTTCATACACTGTGCCTGCTTTTTTTCTTTCCAATTGTTTCAGGCCAGTGGGACTATCTGGTGCTTCTTACTATATATTAGGTGGATGTGGACACTCGATACAGTTTTATGTTTGCAGTAAGCTTCATTTTTGCCGCTCAATCACAATGATTCTTTTATATTAAGCTTGCCTTGCATTTCTAAGTATAAATTCCCCTACTTATGATACATTGTTCTCGCTATATATTGACAGATTTTAATTTGGTATCTTTTCAGGATGTTTGTGTTTAAGTTCATAACAGATATCAATCTGTAGTTTTTCTTTTTTGAAATATCTTTGATTTTGCTATCAAAATAATTCCAGCCTCATAATATGAGTCATGAAGTATTTTCTTATATTTTTAGAAAGAATACATATAGAATTAGTATCATTTCTTACTTACATCTCTGGTAAATTTTTCCAGTGAAATCATGTTGAGGTAGGAGTTTTCTTTGTTGGAAAGCTTTGAACTACAAAATGAATTTCTTAACATGCACAGACTCTCCAGATTTTGTCTTCCTTCTTAAATGACTTCTATTACTTTGTGTCTGTCAATTAATTTGTTCATTTTTATCAACATGATCAAATTTATGGGCTTATGATACAGTGTTTCATAATAGCTCCTTACTATGGTTTTTAGTATTTCAGGGCCTATATTAAGGAGGCCTTTTTCATTCTCAATATTGGTTATTTGTTTCTTCTCCTTCCTTTCTCTAAGGTCTCTACCCAAAGATATGTCAATGATATTGAAAAATCAGTTTTTAATTTTACTGAATATTTCACTATCTTTTCTGCTTAAATCTATTAATTTCTGCTCTTATTTTTGTTAATTCCTTCCTTCTGCTTGATTTGGATTCAATAAGCTTTTCTTTTTCTAGTTCTTAAGAGATAAGCTTAGATTATTAACTTGAGACATTATGTCTTTTCTAATATAAGCACTTAATGTTAAAACTGTCTAAGCATTGTTTTAGTTGCATCCCACAAGTTTTGATATAATGATTTTCATTTTCACTCAATTCAAATTAAATTTTATCTTATTTCTTTTTTTTTAATCCATTGGAAATATGTTGCTTAATTTTTAAGTATATGTGGCATTTCCAGAGATCTTTCTGTTAATGACTTCTAGTTTAATTCCATTACATTCAAAGAACACACTTTATATAATTTTTAATTTGTAAAATTTTATTTTTAATGGATCATAGACGGTCTATCTTGATAAATGTTTGAAGCACACTCAAAAGAGTATTCTACTGTTATTGAATGAAGTATACTTTATCTATTGAAGGTATCCTTTTATTCTATTGATTTTTGAGAGATGAATTTTGAGGTCTCAACATCTAATTGTGACTTTGTTTCTCCAAGCTGTTCAATCAATTTTTGTGTTATATATTTTGAAGCTTTGTTATTAGGTGCATATGCATTTAAGAAGTTTGGATTTATGGCAGCCCCTTTCCCCTGCACCTCTTACAGTGTCCCATGCCAGAGCCAACTGTGACTCCCAACCATTGCCTGGCTTCTGCCTGAAGGCTGATGGCACCAAAGTGGGTTGCACAGAGGAAAAAAAGACAAAAAGGGAGAGGGGACAAAAAAATTGTTTTTGTTTTTTTTTTTTGGTGAATTGGAAATATTCCTTGTTCTGAAGTCATCTTTGTCTGATATTAATATTTCCAGCCAGTTTTCTCTTGGTTGGTATTTTCATAGTTCCCTGAACCCTACAGGGTCTCAAGAACCAATAAGAATTCATCTCTGCCCTCAAGGAATTCATTATCTAGAAGAGAAGGCAGAAGAGTAGCAAATTAAGTGCAGGCTGATAAGAGATTTGAAAGTAGAATTTAGAGCTACTGAAGTGGAATCTGTGAATGGAGCAGTTGTTACTCAATTTTTAGTAGTCAAGCTACAGTCTCTAGGGCAAATGTGGCGGTTACCAAAAATCATTCTTTTGGTATTTAGTGTTTTTGCTTCCTAAATGTGAACACCTGGGAACTAGGAGACACTGGCTTACCAAAGATATAGAAGACAAATGGCCACCCAAGGGCTTGACTAATGAGGCCACCCATGAGGGTGACAAGGAAGGCTCCCAGTATCATTCCTGCAATGACACAGAAAGTAAACTGTGGGACTTTGAACTATCACCTGACAAATAAGTACAGACTAATGGATGAACATAGAGCAGAATCACCAAAGTATAAAAAGACAAGCATATTGAAATATAAAACTTCAGATTTTTGATTTAGTTCTTATAGTCTTCTAAGAGGCCATTTTTTGAAAGTTCCCCAGTAACAATGTAGGCTACTGTCATTTTCTCTCATGCTGTTTTAATTACGCAAAGTTATAGGTGCATATTATGAAAGTAAACCACTGTGAAGAGTAAAAATTCCTCTCACATGTCTTATGAATCCATCTCACTCATTTCTCTAAAGACAATCATTAGTAATAATTTATTGCATGCTATATAATTGCCTACCTTTTCCTCTCTGTGTCCTCTTTTACAACTTTTTAAAAATTCCTAGGCTATTGCAGTTTTTATTTTCCAGATGAATGTTAACATAAACTTGTCAAATTCTATATATATGTTTGGGAGTTGTTATTTCAATAAGCAAAATTGTAGTATCTCTATTATTTTGTGACATTCATTTTTCATTTAATAATTGTCTTTATAAGTCTTTCCATATCCCTATAGGTTTTATTTAGTTCTGAACATAGACATAATTGCTTGTTTCTGAACATAACCATAATTTTTTATGGTAGACTATCAGAAGTGTACTTGCTAGCTCAAAACCTATGCTTATTTTAAATTTTGGTATATACTGCCAAATTACCTTACCAAAAGACTATATGAAATTAAATTGTCAATAAATATTGCTCCCTCCCTCACACCCATGAAAACATCTAATATCCTAGAAGTTTTGAAAAGCTTTTTCCAGAGTAGAAAAAGAATATTTCACTTTAATTTTCATTTCTGTAGTGAAATTGAATATTTTTCCTTTGTTTAATTATCTTTATTTTGTCAGTGAACTCTTTTTTTTCCTGTCTTTTCTTTTCACTTGATTAACTTTGCCTTAATTTGCAGAGTGTTTTTGTATTGTGAATAATCCTCTGTCTGGCAGGCTGGCAGCAATTCTCCCACCTTTCACTTTACTTATATTGGGTTTGTAATCAGCAGTTGTATTTATGGAGTCAGATCTATGAATGTCCTCTAAAATGGCTTCTACATTTAGTCTTTTGCTTTGAAGAAGTTTACTACCCTAAAGTGTAAATAGTGATTGCTTATGTTTTCCTTCTCTTGTAGCCATGTCTTTATTTAAGCATATTGCTTCCATTATTTCATTTAAGTACTAGGAATCAAATTCACACTCGAGGAAGTACACATACGGAAAAGTGCCTATTTCTTCCTAATTCTGCATTTAGTGACTTCACATGTGTATCTTGAAATTGATAATGGTAGGGCTGTTTAGAACACAGAAATTGATAAATACTTTAAAACTGCCTCCAAGCCCGCCCTGCCCTGAGAGTCTGTTCACCAGCACAGTACTACTGAGTTAACATTTGTGGGGGCCTAATTCAGTCACCCACTGGACATTCCCATTCTGTCCCCATGTGCTTAAGAACCCATAGCAATTATCAAGTTCTTTAGTAAACTAAGCTGTGGCCAGCTCTTGGTGTCATTGGTCCAGGATGCCTCTACCTTTTTTTTTTTTCCGGTGGTACTGGTGTCAGAACTCAGGTCCTGGCATTTGCTAGGCAAGTACTCTGTCACTTGAGCCACAACTCCAGCCCTTTTTCCTTTCATTATTTTTTGAATAAGGTCATAAGTTCATACATTTACTTCCCAGGCAAACTGAACTGCAATCCTCCTATTTACTCTTCCTGCACTGCCGGAATGACAGGCACACCACCATGCTTAGCTTTTATTGATTGAGATAGGGTCTTGTGAATTTTTTGTCCAGGCTAGCTCAAACTGTCATCCTCCTGATATGTTGCCCGAGTAGCTAGAATTACATGGATAAGCCACTATGCCTAGTCTGTGGACACTTTTGTTGGAATCCCAACTCTGATTCTCATAACCATACTGTCAGTGGGAAAGCAAGGGTAGCAGGTCAAGTGGCTCTTCTACCTGCGGTCCTTGTACCTTATCATACACAGTTTAATATATCTCATTTCCTTTTTCTTTCTTTTCACTGTATTTTAAATTAATTTTAAAAATCATATAATTATAACACCTTATTTGGCCTGAGAGACTATCTTTTCCATGATCTCTGGGAGAGCTGCCTGGTGTACAGTGTAGGTAAGGCCAACAAGACATGAAGGTAATTTCTCTTGTGATAGACATGCTTTATTCATTCAACAGCTATGTTTCTAAGACTTATCTATGTTACTTCATGCAGCTACAGTTTCTTCATTTTCACTGCTGAATGATGTCATATAATTTTTTATTAAAGTTGTTTGTCTCCTCCCCCTATCACCTATTAGCCTTACCTACAAGCCACCAGTTCTGTTTGGTCTTCTTAGCTCTCCACTATTAAGTTCTTTGAGTGACTGCAAAGTTTCCTACCTAGATATGTGTTTGTAGTCCCCCTTAAGGAAAGAGGCAGTATATTTTGTTCTAGAGGCTGGCAGTGTGTGTTCCGTTCCACTCTGCGAAGGTGACTTTCTGAATAGTCTTTCTACAACTTTAAGGGCTGAATGATCCTGTCTTCCAGTGTAGCCTACTAAGGAGCCCCAGCATCACTGAAAATGGAAATTTCCATATGATCTACTGAGACAAGCAGGGAGGTTCAGCCCACTCTGCCTGCAGGTGAATTTCTCCAGTGACTTTTTGCTGAGCACCCTCACACAATCATGGGCTCCATGCTTTGTGAATCAGGTCCTGGAGTCCAGAAAAGATCAACTTCCTACAACCATTCAAATAGTTCCACAACAGCAGCAAGGTAGCCTCTGAAACTGGCAGCCTTACAGGTTCCTGAGATTTATCTAGATATTATCAGCTTACCTATTATGGTTTTTCAATTCCTATATCATAGTGAGTGAGAGCAAAAAGTTACCACTTCTGTAAAGGTCCCTGTTCTCATTCCAAGTCCTTTAACTTTTCTTTCATGCTTTCCATCCCCTGGTTTTCTTGTGTTCTGGGATAATCCCACATGTGAGAACTGAAGTGAATTTCCTTTGTCCAGATGGAACCCTTCCTTCCACTGTTAGTGAATGTAAACTCTGATAATAGAGATTAACCTTGTGGGGTTGTGACATGATTTTGCTGGGTTTGCTAATGAAAGCTATGTGTGTAGCTTATCTTTTGAATCTTAAAGAGTTCTTGGCCCTCCTTGAGTAAATTGTCTGGAGTTTTTCCCTTATTCCCCAGCACTTACTTTAGTAATGTTCCTTTTGTTAACAACATATTCTCAATTTTCTACTTTTCCCTGGTATAACTTAGGCTTCTTCCTCCAGAATGTTCATTTTGGGCACAGTGTGCTGACAGATCATTATCAGAAAGAAGTCCTCAGGACAATTTAGAACAATTCCAAAAAAAAATGTTAAGTTGGGCCCATACCTTACACTGAATATTGAACTCCAGTGTTTTAGTCTGAAATTAGCATATAAAAATGAAAGCATACAAGTTCAAGAAAAACCTTGCCATCTATGACTCAAAATCCAGATGCCATAAAAGAAAAAAGAATGATCAATTTAACTATATAAATGTCATTAATCACTCTATAAACAAAATCATGCCACAAAAATGATAGCCTAGGGAAAATGTCTAAAAGTCAAATCACAAATTTATATAAACATTTCATTAAAGTTGAACAGAAGATGAAGAACTGTGCAAAAGAAAAATTGTCAAAGAACCCAGGAGGAGAATGTTGAATAGGAGTATAGCCATTTGGGTTACATGCTTTTACCTGATAAAGCAATGCTGCATAGACTGCTTCGTTCATGTGGAGGAGCCCATCTTTGCCAAACTGCAAGCTGACCCCCATATCCTACACCCTGAAATGAAAATAATTAGGAATTTTGATATATGGTGCCATGTAGAAATTCATATCCAGCTCAGATTCGTAAAATATCAAGTACCTGGCTTAGGCCCTGGACTATTCGAGTTGCAATGAGTAAACCAAGTCCAAGGTTAGCGGCCACAGGAATGCACAACGTGAGAAGTGAAGATACAAACAAAGCAACACCAACCACTCTCTTTGTTCCCAATCTCCCAGCCAGGTATCCACCAGGAAACTGTGTCAGCAACATGCCATATTGGATGGAACTGAAGATGATGCCTTGGATTTGAGGACTCCAGTTATACACAGGGGCCTTAGAGAAGCAGAAAATGCTGCAGTAAACCAAATGCAGAAAGGTTCTTACCTACTCAAGAAGCCTCTTTAGATCTTTCACTTGCTTTCAAATCAGTGTTCTCTCAATAGAAATTTTTAAACATATAAGCTCTAGAAAAATAAATGTCCAAATAAACTGCAAAGATAAGAGCACAAATTTAAATCTTGCATTGCTTACCCTTGCAGGAGGATTCTTCGGGGCTTTATCTGGGTCATCAAATAAGTCAGCAGATAGTCCCTCAGCTGATCTATTGAGCTGGGATTGATGGTCTGTGCTGTTGACCATGACAACCATGGTGATGTTTATGATAGTATTTTGTGCCATCAGGGTTAAGCTGCAGAAATGTGCGATGAGGGCTATTCCATAGCGAATGGAACATAAGCTTGGAACTAGAAATATGACAACACATTACATGCTTTCCTTATTGGGCCAAGATTGGGTTTTTTTTCTTAATAAGAGGCTATGCAGACATTTACTGCAGACATCAGTAAACAAAACAAAACCTAAATGTACAACCACAGGAGGATTTCCAGTAAATAATATTTTAACAATTGGGCATATTGGAATAAAATATGTATCTCTTAGGAGAAAGATTTTTTTATCTCATAAAGCAATATAGAAAAGTATGTGTTAGCAAGCTAAAAAATATACAACATAATATATATATAGTAAATGCCTATCAAATTAATGCAATAAAAACAAATTATTGTAGTTGAATTAAGCTTATGAGAATCATTTCTTGATTTTGGATGTTTCTGTAATTAGTTTTTCTTAGTTTACTTAAGCAATAAAGTTATGTTTATAATATTACATGCAAATATTTCAAGAAGAAAACACAATACTATGCATAGACAACTTTGTTAGCTATTATCAAGAGCATAATGAATATAGGTGAAGATTAGAAAGTATAAAAAAAACTACCTTTAGAATAATTGTATTTATTTATTTTATATAGTTGCAAAATGTACATTAATATTATTGGATTTTAAAAGAACTAAAAAACTTAAAAGTGATTTAAAAAATCATTACTTCGTATTACTGGATTGCAGAAAAAAATCCTCTATAAAATCTCAAAAACCAAGCAGATAAATCAGAGTTTACTTTCCTGGAAATGAGCTTCTCATCTCCTTGAATATCTTGGGAATACTCACTCTTCCTTGCTGTGGGACTCAACTCTGTCATTGTGGCCATTGTGTTTCTTCTTTCCTGGTGGCTCATTTTCACCTACAAGAAGTATGTAATTCCAGTGTCAAAAAGAGGAAGAGACTCCTTTGAAACATTTAGAGACTCTTTTCTTTAATTAGAGTACACAGAGACTCATTACCATATCTTGGCTCATCACAACAGGTGTTTTGCAGCTAAGATTTGGAGCTGCTTGTTATAGAGGATTTAGAGTGTTCACTGTATGCCAGTTTAAGAACCGTGGCTATGGAGCTAGTCATTCTCAAGTTCAAATACATACTTTACCAAGTGCCACCAGCAGCAAATTTGAGTGCTCATTTTTCCATATGTTACTAACAAAAACCAGTTCCTCAGAATGTCATTGTAAAGCTTAAATAGATCGCTTATTCCAAGTAAAGCACCAGGCAAAGAGTGGAAGTTGTATAAATTATTGTTATCACTGGAGCTAAAACGGAAATGGGTTATGTCAGAACCATGCTTCTTGGGAATCCTGGCTTCTGTCCTTAATGACTCCCACATTGCTTCCCATTTGATGCACCATGAGTGCAATAATGTGTGTGTCACTGATAATTGGGGACCAAGTTTGCATGATGACATGATACAACTCAAATCTCATATTTTTTTGGTTACAGGTTGATGATGCATCTGTAGAGTTATAGAAGTAATTAACAGATCTTGATGTTTCTGCATATAAAAGAATTTTAAAAGGTCATTATTACTGCATAATATTAGGATCTTTAATGCCCAAGGAAATTGCCATGTGGTACTGTGCAAGAATTTAAGCACTGTATTCAGTGCTCAATTTATTAAATTTATGAATTTCCTAAAAAGTTTCAAAATATATAGTTTTTATGCCACTAGTGAACAAACTCATGGGCATACTATCCACCCAAAGTTTCCTTGTGTCCTTATGCAATATCTTCTAACAGTATCTTAAAGCTTCTCTCCCATTTGCCTTGCCCTCCCATTCCTGGGAAAGATGAAAATAATTTGTGTTTCCAGAAATTTTATAGATATGGAATAACACAGTATGTACTCACTTTTCTCCTGGCTTCTTTCACTCAGCATAATTATTTTGAGATTCATCTATGTAATACACATTAATAGTTCATTCCTTTTTACTGAGTAATATCATCTTATTGTATGGTTATACTATAATTTGTTTCCATTTTATCTTTTGATGAAAAATTACATTTTTGTGGGTTTTGACCTGTACAAATAAAGCCCCTATGAACATTCATGTTTTAGGTTTTGTATAGACATGTACTTTAATTTCTTTTATATAAATACCTCGTAGTGGAATGTATGGATCATATAATAAGTATATGTTTAACTTTTTCAGAAAAATGGCAAATTTTTTCTAAGTGATTGAACCATTTACATTCTCACCAAAATGTATGAAACTTCCATGTCCTCTAAATATTCATTAAGTTGGTATGGTCTGTCTTTTAAATTTTAAACATTCTAAAAGGCATGTAGTAATATTTCACTGTGGGTTTTAGTTGTACTTCTCTAATGAAGTTGAACATTTTTCTGACCCCAGAATTTTATTTATTTTTTATTTTGTCATGGATTTATTTGCTATCAATATATCTTCTCTAGGGAAATAGCTCCTAAATCTTGATGTTGAGCATTCTTATTCTATGGGTTGACCAGGAGAATGATGGAGGGAGTAAATTCAACTATGATATACCATAAAACTTTTGTAAATGTCACCATGTATCCCAGTACAACAATAATATGACAATTCAAAAAATAGGCCTTTTGTTTCTAGGAAAATTGCTCTGATTCTATACTCAAGGACTGGGAGATATTTCACAAAAGACAATAAAGGCATATTCAACCAGTAGTGGTGCAACCTGGTTGTCTTGTGCAATGTGGTCCCACCAAACAGGAATATGTTATTTCCATGAACATTTTTCTCTCCTTTATAATGTCAATCTACATAACTGTGTATGAGAGACTTTAGTACCTCCCTACTATAGGGTTCTGCTTGGACAACAACATTCTAAGTGCCAGTTTTCTATGTTGAATCAACTTCAAGATTATCCCCAGTGCAAGTGAACTAAACAGAACTTTCTCAAAAGAAGAAATTCAAGTGGCCAAAAAACACATGAAAAAATGCTCACCATCTCTAGCAATAAAGGAAATGCAAATTAAAACCACACTAAGATTCCACCTCACCCCTGTTAGAATAGCCATCATTAGCAATACCACCAACAACAGGTGTTGGCGAGGATGTGGGGAAAAAGGAACCCTCTTACACTGCTGGTGGGAAAGTAAACTAGTACAACCACTCTGGAAAAAAATTTGGAGGCTACTTAAAAAGCTAACATTGATCTACCATTTGATCCAGCAATACCACTCTTGGGGATATACCCAAAAGACTGTGACACAGGTTACTCCAGAGGCACCTGCACACCATGTTTATTGGCACTATTCACAATAGCCAAGTTATGGAAACAGCCAAGATGCCCCACCACTGACGAATGGATTAAGAAAATGTGGTATCTATACACAATGGAATTTTATGCAGCCATGAAGAAGAACGAAATGTTATCATTCGCTGGTAAATGGATGGAATTGGAGAACATCATTCTGAGTGAGGTTAGCCTGGCCCAAAAGACCAAAAATCGTATGTTCTCCCTCATATGTGGACATTAGATCAAGGGCAAACACAACAAGGGGATTGGACTTTGAGCACATGATAAAAGCGAGAGCACACAAGGGAGGGGTGAGGATAGGTAAGACACCTAAAAAATTAGCTAGCATTTGTTGCCCTTAACGCAGAGAAACTAAAGCAGATACCTTAAAAGCAACTGAGGCCAATAGGAAAAGGGGACCAGGAACTAGAGAAAAGGTGATCAAAAAGAATTAACCTAGAAGGTAACACACAGCACAGGAAATTAATGTGAGTCAACTCCCTGTATAGCTATCCTTATCTCAACCAGCAAAAACCCTTGTTCCTTCCTCTTATTGCTTATACTCTCTCTTGAACAAAATTAGAAATAAGGGCAAAATAGTTTCTGCTGGGTATTGAGGGGGTAGGGGGGAGATGGAGGGGGCAGAGTGGGTGGTAAGGGAGGGGGTGGCAGCAGGGGGAGAAATGAACCAAGCCTTGTATGCACATATGAATAATAAAATTAAAAAAATAAAAAAAAGATTATCCCCAGTTAAGTGGCAATGAATTTTCCCAGAATTATCGTCTTTTCATATATCACCAGCCTCTATATTCATGTTCTTGGTTATATGCTAGAAAGACTGGATCATCAATGACTAGCCAAAAAAAAGAGTTACTTAGTGACCCCCTGATAATTGGCAGAGGATCCTCTATTTGGACCTATGACTACATGAAATAAACACTAATTTCTGTTTTGACAATGTTTAAATATCCTTTTTTATTTGTCAATTTCATTGGATTAAGAAATGCCTAGGAGATTAGTAAAGCACATATCTGGGTGTGTTTATGAGGGCATTTCCAAGATATTCACATGTAGGACAGCAACTGAGTGGGAAGATCCACCCTGAATGTGAGCAGCACTGCACCATAGGTGGGAGCCCAGACACAACAAATGTGGAAGAAGAAGCCAGGCAGTGAGTATAACTTAAATTCTATCTGAGCAAGTACATCTATTTCTGCTGTCATCACCAGTGAACATCAAATTCTAGCTTCTTCAGCCTTTCAACATGAACTCATACCAGTAACTCCCCAAGGCAGCTTCCAGGCCTTTAGCCTTGTACTGGGGCTGCATCATTGGTTCCTCTTGCTTTGATGCTCCCAACTACTTACACTGGCAGCTATGGGTTCTCTGGTTCTCCAGCATATAGACAGCTATCTGATCATGTAAGCCAATCTAATAAGTATAATAAATATGTCTATCTATCTATATCTATCTATCTATCTATCTATCTATCTATCTATCTATCTATCTATCTATATCTGATTCTGCTGGTTTTGTTTTTCTTCAGAACCCTGAATAACACACCTCCTGTTAAATAAGAAGTAGTTGTGATTGTGAAGTTGCTCTCATCTGACCCATGTCAGAGTAAATTGAAAACGTTTGTAATCTGGCAGGGAAAACAGAGGTAAAACTTAATGAACAAAACGTCATCCCTTAGCTGTTTGGGTCTGAGTTGACAAATAATGCCCACGTGATTGAATACTCCCAATTTTATCAGCCAATGTTAGAGATTGAAGACTTTGAGTTCCCTGAACTATTGATGTTGAAAAGTTCTTAGTTTTCATCTTACTAGTCTCTTCAGTAAGGGCTCTGTGTTACTTGACAGCTTTCTCAGCCAAGAAATTCAGTCATGTTTGGATGAGAGAATGGAAGACTTTTCATAGAAAAAAGATAAATGTAGGTCCTAAAATGAAAATGAGATGACCAAACACACACTTTCAGGAATTTTAAGTTATATCAGAAAGTAAATATATCAATAAATGAAGGAATGGCAGAACCTGAATTGAAATAAGGAAACAAAAGAGAGAAATGCAGGACAGCTCATACAGGAAGGTAATGGTCTACTCAAGGCAGGTCATCCGGGCCCCCAAAAGCTGATTATTAAATTTTTAGGAATTTTGCAAGACAATTTTTGAAAACAGCTATTAACAATTAAATTGTATGAATTTAGAATTCAGTAGATTATACTTTTAAAGTATTTAAAACATCACTTCATAATTATTTTACTGCAAGCTCTGTTCTTGAAGTCGTATCTCTTCCATCTGTATGGTGGGAATACTGTATAAAGGTATGGAATGGAGCACCTCTCCTCAACTCTGAAGTCAGTGATAGCATGTTAGTAGCTTCAAGTTGTTCATAACAGGGGCTTTAAGAAATGTCAAAGGCTACAAATTTGAACTGAATTTATTTATTTATTTACTTCCTGGACTTAAGAAATTATTAAACAATATTCATGTAAGAAACATATATGTGTATACATAGTAACAAATGATTTTTAGGCATGAAAATTCTAAAATGTTAGTTGGATTTCAGTTCTTATTGGCCTAT